GTACTGGTGCACTCTGGCTGCTGTCACATCATCCAGGTGGGGGTGGAGGGGATCCCCATTACCTGTAAAGCGCTTTGAGTTGAGTGTCCAGAGATGTGCTATGTAAGTGTGATGAAGCCAGTTCAGAAATGGGGATTATTAGGAGGCCATGATTGGTGAGGGCCAATGGGAAATTAGTCCAGGACACCAGGGTAACACCCCTACTCTTTTTGAGAAACACTTGGGATTTTTAATGACCACAGAGAGTTAGGACCTCAGTTTTATGTCTTATCTGAAGAATGGCACCTTTTTATAGTATAGTGTCCCCATCACTATACTGGGGCATTAGGACCCACTCAGACTGCAGGGTGAGCACCCCCCCTGCTGGCCCCACTAACACATCTTCCAGCAGCAGGAGTTTGTTCCAGGAGGTCTCCCATCCAGGTACTGACCTGCTGGGCTCCAGTGGGCTCCCAGGTGTGAGTTGCAGGGTGACATAGCTGCACACTCATGCAACTAATTTGCGCTATTAGCCAAGGTGCGCGGGAGCTCGTGTCTGAGGCGGTTCGCGTGTGCTGGCCGGCAGGACCGCGTGCCTCCGCCTGGACCCTCCACGCTGACATTCTGAAACCGTTACCTCACATTTCAAATCTGCGCTTCAACATGACCGTCGGCACCAACAGACCGCCTCGCCACCGGGCAGCAGAGCCGGACTACAACTCCCAGCAGCCTGCGCGGCAGCGCTCGGACCGGGAGGACCCAAGCCATGCGAACAGAAGGGGGGGCGAGAGTCCTAGTTGTGTAAATAATTTTAGAGCTCCCACCAGTATTATGGAGAAATACACAGAAAGTCACTAAACTTTAAGACTGTGTTAAAGTCTTTGATTCCGTACAATGTGAGTCTTGTACGCCGTCGTGCGTAAATGTATTTTTCTCTGTTTCTCCCCCATCTCAAGATGGTGGCGCGGCCCCCCGTCGGAGCCCCTCTGTCCGCACATGTTGCTTTATTCTCGCTGCGCTGCTGGGAACCGGCGAGCCGCCTGTCTCTTCCCGTGTGAGAAGCCACCGAGCTCCCGCCTTCGCCGTCAGCTCCCACGGGGGGTTCTCTCTGTCTGCTCGCCCTTTCGATTTTAAACACCGAGGAGCAGGTCTTAGCAAGATCGGATGTGGTGAGTGCGACGCCTGCTCGCGTTGGACCCCGGGCCGGGGGCCGGGAAGACAAAGCTGAACCGTGCTGGCAGGTTTGGGGGCGAGGGGGGATGGGGAGCGCGGGGAGTGAGGGCGAAGGGCTGAGGGTGTTATTTATGCACTGGGTGTTCCTGCCCGACCCGGTGCTGCCTGCTGCCGGAGCCGAGGATGGAGCTCAAGTTGCTGCCCAAGTTTCGGAGCTGCTCGCCACCCCGGCGCCCGGCCACCTGTGCGGCGGGCAGTGTCCG